TCAAAATTTAGTCGCGGCGTCAAAAAAACAGTCGCGCCGATCAAAAAATAAGTCGCGGGGGTCAAATAATTAATCGCGGTGTTCGAAAAGTGAGTCGCGGCGGTTGAAAAATTAGTCTTGTCATGGTCGAACAAAATTAGCGGTGGTCAAGAAAGTAGTCACAACACCATTAAAAAAATGGGTCGCGCGTTAGTTAAATTTAGTCGCCGTTCTCTAAAACCATGTCGCAGCGGTTAAAACATCAGTCGCGCCGCTAACAAAATTAGTCGCGGCTCTCGGAAAACTAGTCGCAGTGGTCGAGTAATTAGTCGCTCGTTCTCTAAAATTAGTGGAAATAACCAAAAAATAGTCGCGCTCTCCGCTCTCACTAAAACTAATCGCGGCTGTCAAAAAATAAACCGCGGCGTGGTCGACACTCAATTCGCGGCAGTCGAAATACTAATAGCGAAGGTTGCAACAATAGTTCAAAACTTAGTCGCAGCGGTCAAAAAATAGGTCGCCCGTTCACTTAAACTAGCCGCAATGGTCGAAAGTTTAGTCACGGTGGTCGGAAAACTAGTCGCGGCTGTCAAAAATTAGACGCGGCTGTGAAAAAAATTAGTCGCGGCGGTCGAAAAACAAGTCGCAGCGGTCAGAAAATTAGTCGGTGTGGTGGAAAAGTTAGTCAAGATGGTCGGAAAATAAGTCGTGTTGGTCGAAAAATAGTCGCGGCTGTCGAAAAAATAGTCGCAACGGTTGTATGAGAAGTCGCGGCATGGTCAAAATATTAGACGCGCATTCACTAAAATTAGTCGAGGCGGTCAAAAAACTAGTCGCAGCGGTCAAAAAATATACTCGGCATGGTTGAACAGTTAGTCCCGGCTGTCAAAAAGTTAGTCGCCGTATGTTCAAAAAAATCGTGGCAGTCAAACATGGTGAAGGCGGTCGAAAAATTACTCGCAGCGGTCAAAAGTTAGTCGCGGTGGTCAAAAAATTAGTCGCGCGTTCACTTAAATTATTCGAGGCGATCAAAAAACTAATTGCGTCGGTCGAAGAATAAATGAAAACTTGGTCAAAAAATAAGTCGACGCTGTCGAAAAAATAGTCGCAGCGGTTTTATGAGAAGTCGCGGCATGTCAAAAAATAGGTCGCAGTGGTCAAAAATTTAGTCGCGCAGCTGGAAAATTAATCGCGGCAGTCAAACAATTTGTCGCTCGTTGACTAAAATCTGTCGTGGTTGTCACAAAATTAGTCGCGACGGCCACAAAATTAGTCGCGGCGGTTGAAAAACTAATCGCGGCGCTCGGAAAATTAGTCTGGGCGCTAGAAAAAGTAGTCGCGGTGGTCAAAAATTAGTCGCGCATTCACTTAAATTAGTCGCGGTGGTCAAAAAACAGCCGCAGTGATCAAAAAATTAGTCGCGGTGGTCAACAATTTAGTTGCGGTGGTCAAAAAATTAGTCGCGATGGTCGAAAAATTAGTCGCGGCGGTTGAAACACAAGTCGCGGTGGTCAAAAAACTAGTCGCATTGGTTAAAAGATTAGTCACGCCGCTCAAAAAATAAGCGCGGTGCTCGGAAAGTTAGTTGCGGAGGTCAAGTTGTTAGTTGGGCGTTCTCTAATATTAGTGGAACTGGTAAAAAAAAATTTCGAGCGTTCGCTAAACTAACTGCGGGTATCGAAAATTAATTGCAGTGGTCAAAAATAAATCGCGGCATGGTCGATAATTAAGTCACGGTGGTCAAAAACTTGGTCGCGAAGGTTAAAACAATAGTCTCGGCGCTAAGAAATTAGTCGCGGCGGTCAAAGAATTGATCGTCCGTTCACTAAAACTAGTCGCGGCGGTCGAAAATTTAGTCACGGCGGTCGAAAAACCAGTCGCGCAGTCACAAAATTAGACGCGGCTGTCAAAAAGTTATTCGCGGCGGTCGAAAATTTAGTCACGTCATGATCGAAAATTCAGTCCAGCATCGTCAAAAAATAAGTTGCGGCGGTCAAAAAATCAGTCGCGATGGTCAAAAATTATAATCGGCATGGTTGAAAATTTATGTTTTGGCTGTCAAAAAATAAGTCGCTATGGTCGCAAAAAAGTTGCGACAGTCAAATATGGTCACGGCGGTCGAAAAAATAGTCGGGCGTTCACTAAAATTAGTCGTGGCGGTCAAAAAACTAACTGCGTCGGTCGAAAGAGAAGTGGAAGCTTGGTCAAAAAGTAGGTCGAAGTGGAAGCTTGGTCAAAATTAAAACGACAAATACTAAACCATGACTTAACAAGCATATGTAATATAACATTTCAAAAATTATATTCACTCTTGAAATTCTCTCAGAAGATTTAGATAATAAAAAACCACTCATTGAAACTAAGTTTTTGAAATATTTTTGTAGAATAAATTAAAATTTTTTTAACATCAAAAATTAGAAGGAATAGACTAAATTTTTACAAATGATGTTTTTCATTCAATTATAGTTATGTTTCCAGACTAGATGCAGATGAAACATTTTTTGTATCACCACAAAATCATCAGGTCATTCAGCAAAAAGATCATAAATAAAACTCTTTGCACAATTTTCAAATGGAGATCACAAAGTTCTCACTGATCAAGAATTTTCTCAAATAAAAGTTTGATCTACAAAGAACATTAGCATGGTTTGTAATAGATTGTTTCCAACATCATAATATACATCTAATTGAACAATCTAGAAATGAATTTCGCTCACAGCGACAAAGACACATTTTTGGCAGATGAAATTGAATATTTTTGGTTACCTGAATGGTTCCATAAATTATTAATTGAAAAACCAAAAGATAATTCAGGTTCAACAATTTAAATTATTTCAGTGAATCAAAATGTTTTTTGAGTAACCAACCTCATTAACAACAGATACAACACCGTTAGTTCTCAAAGCAATCTTCTACGAAAAAAAAGCTGACAATAATAAATTCAACGGCTGACACTAGCCGAAATTAAAGACAAGGGAAAACTTGAAAGAAACAACAACGCTTAGCCGACAAGAATTTGAAACACCAGCGCATTTTACACACAAAGAAATAATAACAACAATATCAGTGACAGCACAACAAATATTTTGCCGACTCACCCAACAATCACCACGCCACATCGAGACTAACATCGCGTTTCCCAGCACAAAATCAGCAGCTTACCATATACTAACGAATGGATTATCAACAATACAGATCAATAACAGAAAACCGATATTTTGGAAGAAAAACAAACAAATGGAAAATCTTTTGCAAATCTTTACTATGGTTTTTGCAAACAATGAAGGTAGTCACAAAGGCACATCCAATTCAAACAAAACACTCTCAATTTCTTGAACACAACTATAATCTACAACCACCCAAAAAAACACCATTCACAATCAATTACTTTGCATGTCAAATAGACCACACTGATAACTAATGAATTTTTTAACAAAACGATTTATCCATCCAACATAAAAATTAGTAAGTGAAATCAAGCTCATTTCTCACAAGACGAAGACTATTTTCATAGAAGTCAAAAACAACAACAACAACAACAACAAAAACAACAAAAACTACAAAAACAACAACAACAACAACATTAACAACAACAACAACATATTTCTAATCAACGAAAAAACCAATGCAACAAAATTGATGAATCAGATGATATTTCAAAAACCAGAAATTTTTGGACCGATTTTAAAATCGCCGAAAAGTCAATTCCAAAAAAAATAGATTCCCCGCGAAACCAAAACTAACACCACAAAATCACCATGTACAAACGCAAAACCCAGAGACAGGGAGAAATGAAAAAACATTGCCATCTTATTTAGAACAACATAAAACTAGTCGAAGCCAACTTACATTTCTTTTTAAATACCTAACACGACAGATTCATTCCAAATGATAATGAACCCATACCTCATGGGTGGATCATCCATCACAGCAAATAAAACACCAATGGTTTTCAAAGAACAGACCCTGAGTACTCAGATGAAGCCTACTCAAATGCTGTTACAGCCAATTTGATTATAAACATAGGCACAGAACGTTTAAACACACATCTTTAGCATAACTACATTCTTAGACGCACCGTTTCGATTTAACCTTACTCAACGGAGCAGCTCAAAACTGATTTTAACTTTGTCAATACGATCTAATCAGAATGAAAATACTTCACACCAAAAAATTTCAAAAATGGTCGACTCAGAAAAAAGTTAATTAACATCATCAAAGACGACCAAAAAAAAACAAATCCAAAAAAAAACTACCAAAAGAAACAAAGAAAACTCGCTGTAAGAGTAGAAACACAAGTACGAAAAGCGTATTTCTTGAATGCACATGATTATAAAAAGACGAATTTGACCGCATTTCAAAGATGACTTTGATAGCACATTTAAGAAAAATGGCATCAAATAAAAGGGCATCATGTTCATCATATATCAGTGAACTCAATATATATTTTCGGAAACTCGTAGACGAATTACAACAGTCAGAAACCTAAATGAAACTAGATGAAACAGAAAATTTAAAACTGAAATTTGTTTCCAATATGCAAACAACTACCTCACATATAATTAACATACAAGATTTAGGTACTGAATTAGCGGAAAAGATAACACCAACACAATATAAATGAAAGGAATCGAACTTAACAAAAATCTTCATTCAAAAAATAGTGCAATTAATTGAGAATATACAAACACAGCATCGCCGAATGCCGACAAAAACAACAAGATAAATCAAAACAACTATGAAAACACAAAAAATTATCAGTACCAGTACATTATCAGTACAAAAAAATACCAAATTTTTTTAACCAGAAAAATTGAAAATTATACCAGTTCTGAAAAAATAACGTCAATCTAATTATAAAAACAAAAAACTTTGGAGGAAAATCTTCAGATAAAACAAATAATTTTAAAAAATGAAAAGTAAATGACTGTTCTAATAGCCGCAATCACAATGCAGAATACATTTTTCAAGATCAAACTCGAACATGAATAGCTTATGAAACTAAAATAGGAATCAACCATACTTATTAAATCGCAACAGAAACCACTTTTACGGCAATTTCGAAATTTTTAACACTGGAAATTATAAGTATAGATTACGACAAAATTCTAATAAAAAAGTAGAAACAATAGTTATCACAAACAATCACCTAGCAATTTTTCTAGAACACCACATCAAAACAGTCACAAATTTTAATTAGATAAAATTGAAGTCTTAGAAGTGGTACACCAAAACAATAACGACAAGATAACCAAGTAAAATCAACAACTGAAGCAACTCCTGACCCACAAGGAAACCAAAACAACAAAACCTCACACTTTCAATCAAACCACATATATTGTGATACTACAATTGACGATACTGAAAATGAAAATACACGCTAACAATTAGCATGTTTAGAATTGTTAGACCACTATCAAAACGGTTATCCCAAAAATAAAAACAATGAATCAAATACAAGTCAAAGAACAGACATAAATCATAAACCACATAATAATGAAAATCAAGAAGAGAAAAATCATATATATCTCTCAAAATGCAACCACAAAAACGCACCCATCGAAAGAAAACAAATTGGACATCACCTCTTCTTTTAGAAACTCCAGAAAACGAAACTTTCAAAATCGAGACATAGAAATGGACTTTCAAACAATTCGCGCGCAGAGTCGATTATCATAAAAACAAATAAAAGGAAAGAGTTTCACTCACTACACCCAAACATCACATTCAAGGTACATTAAGCTACAGCACAAGGTACAAACTTACAAACTATCGAAAACTATTATTTCCAACCCACCGAAATTATGGAACGATTCAAGTCAAGCTAATTACTGAGTCAAACATAAAAAAAATCAAACTATTTAGAGAACTATTTCATTTTACAGATATTAAACAAGTATAATAGGCATACTATTACTCACGAAGTGTATACCAACAATTAAAATTTTGAAAAGTAAATAAGAAACCAAAGATAAATAATCAAGAAAAAATAATACTTTACTAACGATCTTCCCATGGTTTATCAAACAACCACTATTTTTTCAAAAATTTATCGACATGAACCATTAGCAAGGAAAACATTAAAGCCAATAATTGGTTATGCAAATCCATTTCCGTTATCCGTTACGCCGTTGCTCCACTCCATCAAAACAACAAAAATCACAACACGCAGAAACTAAACAAGTCTGACCTTGAATCTACACCAATTCGTAACCTTTTTCAATTTTATCAATTAAATGTTCAAATGACACAATCACCTATGTGGCTCGCCGCGTGAAACAAAGTCCAGAAAAAACTCTTACTGGAAACTGGAAGTTTATAAGGTTAGAACTCAATCATGCCAACCATTTATTACGTGGTCTTCAACCTCGAGGTTTAAATACCATAATGTTGCAACCACCAGACTTGCTTCGACACAATGCGGAACTCTGCAATGCATATACGTCGCGCAAATAGACGAATTCAATGGTCAAAACAGCAAGTTTGAAATCATTCATCAATGTGGCAAGGTTTTTGTCTAAGACTAACCTTTTTCGAGCACCCGCAAAAGTTTTTCAACTTTAAAACTATGCCTCTTCAAAGTTTGGCCGCAAAGTACACATGAAAATTCTTGATAAACACTTTTTTCAAAAGTATCCAAACACAATCTCAACAGCAAGCATAGCAAGCAACCGACAAAAAAAATTGCTGCAACTATTTCACTTTTTTCACATTAACTTTCTTCGTGTTGGTGGAAGAACTAAAAGTTCTTCACTTCTTTCAGCAGAAGGCGCTCAAGGGTTTCATAAAACGTTTATTTTCAATCAAATGTCATGAAATTTCAATCAACTTTGAAAAAGAATGCTTCAGAAATTTTGATCGGCAGATGTACTAACTCTTTAGGCAATTCACTTAGATACCGAGGACTTGACACCGCAAAATGCATTTCGGCCATACGAAAGTTCATTTCCCGTCGTGGACAACCAAGAGTCTTGTTCAGTGACAACGGTTCTAATTTTCTTAGCGCCAGGCAACAACTACGAAAGAAACCGCCACATTTAGACCGAGATTTCCTGAAACACAACCTGCTGAATCAATCTGTTGAATGACACATCAACCCTCATTCCTTTCCTCATTTTGTTGAGGCGTGGGAAAGACTCGTTTAGATTGTCAAACGAGCTCTTCTCATGAACCTTGGTTCAGCAAAACTGACATTGGACATTTTCACTAAGATTGTTGTCGGAAGAGAAGGCTTCGCAAATTCAAGGCCACTAACCCACATACCAAGTGATATTAAAGACGAAGATACTTTAAACCCTAACCACTTCAAAATGGGGAGGCCAGCCTGCAAGTTCAATGAAATTATTACACTCAAGTCTTCGGCCTGGATGCAAGTAACACAGAGATAACAAAACTTCTGGAGCATTCTTGTTACTGGATACCTGCCAAATTTAAACTTCAGATCAAAATGGACTCAGCATGAATCTGCGTTGGAAATTGACGATATCGTCTGGTTACTTGAAGCATGGAGTCTGGCCGCCTTGCCGCGTGACAAAATTATTCGGCAGCCCCGATCGTATAGCAAGGTCATGTGAATTAAAAATCCGCTGTCAGACTTGCACATGTGTTCCCCAAACTCATTTCTGGTTAAGTTGGCCGCGAGGGTGTTCATGATTGAGCAATTTGATGACTAAATATTCCCGCAACTTAAAGTAAATAACGTGATGATGATTATTCCCGCGTTTGAGTGCAACTGTTTTTGATAGATATTGAATCAACAAGACTGTGAAAAAAAGTCAACTCGAATACAAGATTGAAAAGTTTTCCAAACAAAGGCTATTGAACCAAGGTAGCCCCCACCACCAGTAGGAAAAGGTATCGAATAAGCGAGGTACGGAGTTACACCTAACCCTTAGAATCCGGTACAGAGGTAACCCCCAACCCCTCCTAAGAAAGAAGACTACCAATACCAGACCCCCAGTGCGGTACACTACTATCCCCCTGGCCCGGCGGCCTTCTCACGTCTTGCTTGTTCTTTTCAAACAGGTTCAAAATATCCGAGCAAAACTCCGTGCGTCAGCTTTCCATTCATTATCTCTTGACCTATGCCAATAATACCTTTCGTTGCGACCAAATGGAAAAACTCTTTTCATCAATAATTATCACGGCAAGAAGAGAAATTCATTCTAATCTCATTGCAGTAATCAAATTAAAAACTGTACCAAATAATGCTTCTGTCAACAAGTATGGCGGAAACTCGGAAAATTGGAGATTACACAACAGTGACGGTCCATTGCGTATAGGTCTCATAATGTATCCTTTTCTTAGTGTACCATTACGCATAATTTTGGTCGTTTTTGAGTTTTTGCGTGGCAATCAGTAACCGGTTCAAGCCATTACATGTTGGGGATGCGGCTGAAAGTTTATTTCTGCGTTTAGGATTTCCAAATTTTAGTTCCTAATTTTTGGTGCCTTCACGTGTAATGACGGAAAGTAAAAAGTAAACGAGTTATACTGAAAAATATGTATACTAAATGAAACGTCTGCGTAAAAAGCTGCTTCCTTTAGTCTCTGAGGAGTTTTGAGCTCTTTTTAAAAGTGGAAATATAAATTAGAATAAAAATAAGTAGTAGTTGCACTTATCTGGGAGGTTTCCGGTACCGACTTGCCAATCCGAAGTCAGAAGCTATTAAAGGTCTTACGGGTTTCATATCATAATTTCCTTTTTCTACCATTGAGCGTACATCTTATTTTGATTAAAGTTTGCTACTTTTTCATTCTCGCTATTTTTTCATAGCATTAATCAATTGCGTACATTTTCAACTATCCCAGTTTCTCCCACGTTGTTGCTATCGTTTTTTTTTGTCGAAATGCTTAAATCATACAGCAATAAATCCAATGTTTCCAAGACATCTCTAGATTTTGATACTGAAATTGCAGCACTGGAGCTAGCCGTCGATTTAATGCGACTAGTGATCCTTCCTCTTTCATTTACTGTCGCCCTTACGTGCAACGTGATCATAATTCTAGCTGTTCAAAAGATGAAAATAAATAGAGCATCCAGTCTTTTCATGATTTTAGTGGCAGCGGCTGACATTTTCCAGATTTTAGGGCTGATTGGGTAAGAAAAAAATCATTGAAACATTATGAATCTCAACCCCCCCCCCCCTCATTCGCCCGCAGGGCGTCCATCCCTCATCACCAACCATAGGTCCCCCTATGACAATATTTCATGACATACATTTTTGTCTGACCAACTCTAAAATATTTCCAAAAGCGCCTTTGGTGCCAATATATACAGGTTTTGAAGAGGAGCGCACGCCTAAAAATGCTAAGTTTCCGTCAAAATAACCAAAAGTACCCAAAAACGGCATTTGTGACCTGTTTTTTCAAACATTGATATACGACGCAAAATTGTTTCGTTTGAGTGCTCAGGGAGCGCTCGGATAATCCATTTGATTGGCCTAAAAATTACCAATTTGATTCTACACTTCCCTCCCTTCAAGAGAAAATCCTAGATCCGCTCCTGTTAAGAATTAGAATCAATAATTGCTAAGAATTATAATCAATAAAAAAAACTGGGAGAAAAGAGCTCCCGCGGATTTTATTTTCAAGTAACATTACGTATGGACCTAAAGATGCGTTTCATGAGATTTGTAGAGCAGATTTTCAATTTTAAAAAGCGTTTTTCCTATGTTAGTTTAGGTATGGCCGAAATGATTGACTGATTACTCTCCATAACGCTCAAAAGAATTAAGTACGAGGGTGCCAAAGTCGACAAAAGGTTCAATTCAGTTATTCTGGCGGAACTGAAGAAATTTTCCCTGGCAACTTTTTTTTATTCCTTGCTCGTGGTACAACTTTTAGGTAACTTAGTGCAAAAACATTACCTTCTTTGGGTAGCAAGAACTGCAGAAAAGGTTTGGCATCTTTGGCAGTGTCGAATTCTCAATTTTTGCACCATGTGGACTTGCTCATTGCACCGATGGCCAACATTTCACGTGAGATGACAACAGGGTAATCAGCAAAGAAGACATGAAGCTCTTTCGTAAT